CTTAGATACTCAAAACCAAGTATTAGTCAGAAGAGAGACGGACTTAGAGGCATATCTATCAATCGCGAAGAAAAGGACACAAATATGAGGCGATGAATAGTTGGGCCATAAGTATAGTAGCACTATAGTATGGTAGAGGATAGACCTCTATGAAGTCATTAGTCTCTTACTCTCATAGAGGGAGAGCATCTGATTGTGAAAGGGGTCAATAAGATAAAAAATACAAAGACAAACTCTAAATATAAAGACATGACTGAAGGGCAAATACTAAAGTACTTCATAAGGCCAATGTCGATAGGCTTCTCATCAAGATAGTCAAAAATGGAGGATTTTAGGTCGATGCATAAGTGCTTGACTAAGGAACAAAGAATAGAGAATATGACTAAGGAACAATATGTGATACTATATCATTTTCTCCTTAGAGTCGTAGGTGATGGAAATGATAGAGAATATGATACAATCTCAGAGGCGACTAAAACTATCGGAGACTTGCTCCAAGTTAGAGTAAAATTTTACTCGTTTTGGGCAAAAAAATTTACATTCTAAAAGTTCAATGACAATAAGAAAATGAATTATAATAACTAACTCAATGCAATAAGTGCAAACACTTGTGCTTCAGAAGTTTACAAAAAGTAGGCAAAATCTAGTAACCTGCTTAATGCATGAAATATAACTCTTGCGAAGGTAAGTGAAGTTAAGTAACAATTTACCTTCTAAACACTTAAGAGAATAGGCAAAATTGAGTATCCTAGTTCTCTTATTTATTCAGTAAAGGAGCTCTACATATATTCAAAGACTCTTCAAAGAAACTTAGTGAAAGACAATAGTTATCAAATCCTCACCAATGGTGATCGGTTCTACCGAAAGTATATTACTCACTTCATTTCAACGAAGTGTTAATCAAAAGTAGAAGTGATGTGAATCTACTTAAAGACAACAACTAGACATAAGAGGAATCAATAGATAAATTTTATAGTGGAAAGATATTAAAACTTTAAAGTTTACAAGGCAATGCTTATTAAAGCTTCAATATATATTCACTCAATTTGAGACATTTGAGAGACTAGCAAATAATAAGAATGATTTTTTTTATCATTTAAGGGATCTACAAAAATCAGCAAAGATCAATACTACTTGATTAACCCCACACCAGAGTCGGAGTTATTAGCATGTTAAAACAATATTAGCGAATTAAAGTTTGACTACTAAACTATAACGACAAAGAGTAGTTAGGAGCCAAGAGACCCGTCATAACTAGAGGAGAAGAAAAAATATTTAACAAAAACGAGGAGATACATTATTTACAAAGGCTTCGATAAGGATGTCGAATGAATAAGTGAGAGAATAATATTATGAAAAAATCTGTATAAAGGGTATTTAATGTAATGTTTGTATATGTTCATTATTTTCAGTTTTATTCATGCTTTATATAATGTATAAAAGGCTTATAGTAGGCTTGGTAGCACCATTCGAGTTAGCTTTAGCGGTTGTCTTAGTTATGGAAACATATGTTATATGTAGTCATCGCATAAAGTTAAAATTACAAAAAAAAAAACTATTCAGACAACTATTTTGAGATTTTTCTAGCTCTGTAGAGTGGTGCAATGTGTTTGTCAACACAGTACCCAAGAGCTTCCCGGATGACACATAATTAGATGGACCTTTGAGGTAGTATCTAGGGTTGAATCATTGTTATGTTTTACAATAATATCAAATAGGTACTTATGGAGATTTTTATCCGCAATGAATCATCTTGGACCCTTTGTCGTGTGATGTTTAAAGCTTATAAAGTCTATATTTATAATTTATATAGTATATCAAGTGCTTACCAAAATATATCCTTGTGAAATTTTGAATTAAGTATTTTAATCCATCTTCATTTTTATATGTTTTTAAATGACAATAAAAGATTTTAAGGATGCTGATCTTTTAAATGACAATAAAATATCGCATGACTATGATTTAAATAAAATCAACTAAGTCTATATCAAAGTTGTTGAAAATAGTGTTACGAGTTGATTCAGCTACGCGTATCAAAAATAATCTTTTGGCTGATCTAGTTACGTTATCATCGATTGTAATACTTTAGTGAATTCAATCGTACTGTTACCGAACGTACCATGTCGTTTAGGATATGTTATCAGCACAGTTCACTTCTTTCGTCGAGTTGAATAAAGTTCTCCCTTCACTTGTCCAATCCAACAGGAATAATTCTATAGGAGAACGGACGACCAAAAACGGAATGGGAGAGAGAGAGAGAGAGGGTGAAGGGAAGCATCCTAATCTCCTGGTATTCAATCTCCCTCATCGACGGACTCCAAGTGTTCAAAGTATTTAAAGCCTATAATTCGTATCCCTCTTCTCGTTCTCGTGTTGTTAGCAATAATACAAGGCTGCAACGATTCAACGAGTGACACACATTTTAAGCGTTAGTTCTCTTCAGATCCTCACTATATAACTCTCTCTTCCCAATCCATCTCAACAAACAATTCATTCATCAAAGATTAATCTTTCACAAGGTTGATCTTCCCGTAGAAGATGCG